TTCATCTTCCTAAGCTTATCAGTGTACCATGTTTTACGATTTGAAGCAGGCTGGAAAGGACACTTGGGAGCAATTGTGTTGATAGCCTTGGCAAGATCAGTGTCCCAGGTATTAACCAAAGCTTCGACAGAATCACTGCTGTCACCAACCATTAAACCCTCTAAGGCTTTCTGGAATCCAATTGGTTCCATAAGCCTTCAAGGGTGGACCATTCTAATGGGTCCACACCCCTGGTGGGGCGGACAGTGGTTCTTAGTTCAGCCATGATCAGAGAATGATCCGTCCATGACAATGCAGCAGTTTTAATAACCTTCGCCCACGAATATTCCTGTTCCGTACTGAAGACCGCATTGAGGGTATGTCCTGCACAATAAGTGGGCCCAGCGACCAATTGGGATAGGCCCAGATTTGTCATGGATTCCATGAACTCCCGAGCCGCACCTGTTAGATTCAATAAACTGGTCTCGAGTTGAAGTCGTCCAAATCTAGAAGTCTGGGCAACTCCAACGGCAACTCTGAGACCAGCTGTGTCAGCTCGGTTAGAGTCTGTTAGACAATGGGGTGGCTGGTATACTAACAGAATCCCCAAGGTACATACACTTGAAGTGGACTGTGTTCTGGACAGGTATCCTGGTCAAGGTGAGGTTGTTCTTGTTAACCAGAGCCCCCTCCTACTTTCCCTTACCTGCTCACTGACAGGTAAGTACCTGGCTGGGGGTGCCTGCATCCAAGTTATAGCGCTATCCTCTCCCAGCCAGGTCTCTGTAAAGCAAGCCAGGTCGGCATCCTCATCTAAGAGGAGGTCATAGATGATATGGGTCTTATTTTTGACTGACCTGGCATTGCAAAGAAGTAAGATAAGGTTCTGTGGAATGATTGGTGCACTCCCCAGTCCATTCCAGGAAACAGGGTGAACTGAAGGCGGGATAGCTTTCAAACATCGATCCCACCTTCTTTTATAACAGCCCTTCACTCTGTTCCCGCCATACCTTCCTTTCTCCCACACAACCTCAATTTCCTCTCCCAGATCATTCCTGGCCATGCATAGAGGAGTGACTTTTGAAGCCAGCCACTTCTGGCCACGCCCCCTCTCACTGCTGCCCTGCTCCTGAAGTTCATCATCATCATCATCAGCTTTATTATTGCTTAAGCCAAAGGCCA